TCAGCTCAGATTCATAAAATAAACCCCCTTTTACTCTGTTTACTCCCACTGCAAATGTGCGATTAAATCCTGTTCCGTTCAGTTCCTTTCCCAAGATGTACTAAATTTAAGCTTTCTTATTGGAAAACTGGGAATAATAACTTACTGGTTGCTTTAAAGCGACTCCAGAATAACCTGTACATGAATAATAGTCTATAACCTGCTGTCACGCCAAACAAAGAGTCCCATTATATTCTGCTGTCCTTTAAACCTCAATAGTCTTATTTATGGCAGCAGAGGGGCCTGCAGTGGTTTGCTGCTGGATGTGCTGCCACCTTGTGATGCTCTCTGAACCCTGCATGTCAAACTTCACAGAATGCATTTCTTTCTGTCAGCTCTCACAGCTAAGGGCAAGGCCTGAGGAGGATGAGATGAACCCTTCTTCCCTGAGGCGTGCCGAGCCCACGGAAAGATGGATGTCACTGACCCTCAGTGAACACAGCAGAGATCTTCCTCTCCATATTGTCTCTATCTTTTGCTCAGTGAAGCCTGCAGTGCTGGGCCACCATCACTCACTCTCAGCAGGGCGGCAAGTGGATTAGCTGACCTCTCCTGGTGTGGGAGGAACAGCCCTAGCAGTCTGGTCGGTAAACACTGCGACCCTCGTGCAGCTGAAAGCTCTGGGCGAGGTGGTCGGGGATGCTCCCCAGGATCAGGCAGATAGGAGCGTCTCCGGCACCCTGACAGCCAGTCAGCATGGCAGCGTGAGTCTGCAGTCTGTCAGACGAGATGGACGAGTAGTCGGCTCTACTGTTCTAAATGCTCTAGAAGCTTTTATTATTCTCTGAGCTATGAGGCGACACAAACATTACACTAACATGTGACTTTTTTTCTTCTCCGTCCTCACCTTTTCTGCAAAGCCAGCAACTTGATCTCGGCTTCACAACTTTTTCCTGATAATTTTGTTAGGACAGTCAACCTGTCCCTCACAAAACTTAGCAAGCTTATTCTTTTTGGGTTGGTCTGGGTGCGTGCAGTCCTCGGTTCCAGCCACAAATCTAGGTTTAAAGCTCTATCATGCAAAGAAGCAGCCTGATGTGAACAGCATTCTGAAAGACTGCCGTCTTCTCTGGGTCAAAGTTCAATTAAAACTGAGGCCAAGAGGAAAACTGTTCTGTAGTTTAACACCGTTTTTCAAAGTGGGGGCTGCCAGGGGGGGCCCAGATAGCTGGAGAAAAGATGATTAAAAATAGTAATAATAATTAAAAAACTGCCCACTAGGGCAATCTGTATCTGTCATTTCCAGATAAACACGCTCGAGAGAGAGAAGTTAGATTTCTTTTGTTTTGTTCTTCTGGTCAACAGTTTGTTGAAAAATTTCTTTTTTTCCAGTGGGAATATAACACAATCTTTAAAACATGTTAGTTAATAACATTTTCATGCTCAGCAGCTGTAATCATTAATTGAATATTAGAAACACTTTAATTCTTAGGAGAACACTGCTGTTAAAAAAGTGCATTTTTAATGTATTGAACATTGTTTATACAAAACAGCACCGTAAAATGTTCTAAACATCTTTAAGTCATAATTTAATTTTGCACATACTGAGATTAATCAAGATTAATCAGAAAAAAATTTGCGATTAAAATTTTTAATCTTCGCCCAGCACTAGAATATAAATAAATGTTAAAACATTCTAAGAGTTGATGTTTCTTTACATATTATGTAGCATTATTTCGCTCGTCCAGAAGCTAACGCTGTTTGGGGGGCCATGGCACGGAAAAGTTGGGGAACCCCTACCTAAATTAGAAATTATGTTTAGAAACACCAGACCTCACACACTTTTACTAAAAAGAGAGGGACTTTCCAGACTGTTGGCTGTGCAGTTAAAATGTCTGCCTCTCTGATGGTATGGGGGTGCATATTTGCCTATACGCATCTGATAACCATCGACTCAGAATAGTAAAGTTTTAGAACTACACATTCCTTCCTATTTAGATTTTAAAGGAAGGCCATGAGTATTTCAGCAAACCCACACAGAATTCTTTACAACAGCATGACTTCACAGTAGAAACAACCAGTTGTGAACTGACCTGACTGTAGTCCAGAACTCCAGAACGTGGCAAAGAAGACCCAGGACTGTTGAGCAGCTAGAATCCTACATCAGACAAGAACAGGACAACAACCGCCTCCAAAAACTCCAGCAGCTGGTCTCCTCAGGTCCTGGATGTTTGCAGACTGTTGTTAAAAGAAGAGGCGATGCTTCAATGTGACAAACAAGACCCTGTAACAACAATGTGCTGCTGATGCTAAAAATCTCAAGCAAAAGTTACCTTATATATATAAAAAAAAAAACATACAATTTATGAGTTGATATGTTCATCGTGTTCCATTGTGAAGAAAAAACAGGTTAGATTTTCAAATTATTGCACTGTTTTTAATTGCATTTTATACGACGTCCCAACTTCTTCTAATAAAAACAAATAGTAAAATAAGAGACATTTGCATGCTCAACTAAATACTGAAGTAAAACAAACACAAACAACAACTACATATAACTGAAAATATTTAGGTAAATAAAGCTCATTGCTTTAAAGTCTAATGTGAAATATTAAAATAGAAGTAAGAACATTGCAGTATTTATCGTTTCTGAAGAGTGGATCATTTTTCTTACAGGCGGATTTTTAACCAGCATCTGTGACCGCTCAGGGGAGCAGTACTTCACTTGACATGATAACATGCACATGTCAAGGAACCACTCATTTTTGACCATGAAATGTGCGTATTTAAAAGCTAACGTTATGACTTTTTAAAGAGCGGATGACAGACACGGCTTTAAACCAGCTGTTAAATCAATGTCACGGGGATTCGCGATGGCGTAAAAAAAAAAAAAAAGACGTCATCCTGCTCTTCGGTGCGCTGACAAAGTATGATAAATGTAGCGTCATGAGCAGCTGCACATCGCTGCTGCCTGCGAGACAAGCCTGAAACCTTCCACATTATGAATGGACTCGTCAAAGAGCTACAACATAAATGACCTTTGGTGGTAGTTCTGCACCTTGGGAGGTGTTCTGTTGGCACACTGCTCACTCACTGAATCTTTTCAGGTCTCTTATCTCGCATTTTTGTGATTTCTCTCTTTTTTAGACCCTTTGATTAACATATTTGACCCATCACACATTGGTGCCAAGTCGTTATTAGGTGTTAGTGTTTTCAGTTATCCCACACATCCTCCATCTCTGCCACCACGGCTCCGCTGCGAGGCAGACGCCCCACAGCAGGAGAAAAGCAACAAAATGCAAATTTTCTCTTTATAACTGATAACATCAGAGCTCAACTTTAAAATAAAAAAAGCTAATGAAGGCTGTAGCAGAAGATGGAAACAAACATCACTTTTAGTGTCACTTGCTTTATTCCTGCTGGATGGTCGTTTTAAAAGCACTTGTTTGCAATACAGACTTTTAACAGAGTTTTAATGATACAAGTCGTACTGCATATGTCAAACATTCATGCCGAAGAAAACACTAGTTACTTCCTAACAGGACTGTTACACGTACTGAAAATAAAGTTGAAATCAGGCTTTCTTTTTAATAAACAACAACCGTAACAAGACAACACTGCCATAATAAGTACTAATGTTTCTAGCTTAGTGTTATTGTAATAAAGGAAAATAATCAAAACTGTACTCAAAGACTGGGAGTCCTTAAAAAAAAGGTGGTTGAAAATTGGGCAGTCTTCACAATTCACCTTTACAAGGCAAGTTACGGCTTTAAAAATCATTTTCCCCTCCAAAATAAAACACTGATGAAAAGTTACTCGACACTTTAAACAACAAAATGTTTTTTTTTGTTTGTTTCACAAATGAACAACATGTTGCTTACGTACATCTACTTTAGAAAATAAGAGTCTACTGATGATTGCTACAAGACTATCGCCAACAAAAACACACAGAATTCAACAATATCTAAGCAGAACGTCTGACAGATCTCAAGGCTACATAGTAGGAAGGCAGTGATGTCTATAAATCCTTTCATTAGGGTAGAAATACAAAATAATTTACATTTTCATCTTCTAATAGTGCTCTCTAACTTGATATATGTTTAAGAAAAGGAAATACACTTAAATTAGAAATTAATATAAGCTGTAGAGCACCTTATATAAATTATTCCTCAAGAAGATTTTTGGAAGCGAATGGCACCCACTCACCAGCGATGCTCTTTAAAGTGTGTGATCTTCCTCCGACAATAACACAGAGCCTCAACAGTTTAACAAGAACGTTTTTAGAGATACTTCAGTCATAGAAAGTTTGCATCATGAGGGTTTGTGCATGAAGGAGTTACGACAAGCTGAATGAGTTTGGATACTGAACAGTAACGCGACAGCCAATAGTGTGTTGCAACACTGCTGTTGTTTCAGTTAAGAGCACGGTGAAGCGTGTTACCTGCAGGCCGACGGACTAAAGCTACTCAACTGAAATGAACCTCCACAGTCGGTGCGAACAATGCTTTTTGTTTTGTTTTTCTAGTGCAAAACTGCCAACTTTTGGTCTGGACAGTTGGTATATATAGAGTCACATCAGCCCACATGAACACACACATCAGGCTGAAACGCTCAAACCTCTAAACACAGCCATGTTTCCTGAACCTTCCATAGAAAAATAAGCATATCGAGAGCACATTTAAGACTTTCCGATACCAAAACACTTGCATAAAGGTTTCGAAATACCATCAAATTTGACCAGAGCTGGAATTAAATGCAACACATGCATGAGAACTTTACATTGCAAAGAGAACGATTGAGCTCTTCTTCAAAACAGCCAAATCCAGGATACAAGATTTGCCCTTATAGTTCATGAAAAGTGAATCTGAACTCCATTCTGAAAAAGAGAAAACCAAGATATCAAGGTAAAATACTCAGGAGGGGGAAAAAAGTCTGAAGAGGTGATGTTAGAAGGAAAAAAACATGACTCGTGTACGACAGCTCTGGTTGGCGGCACTAAAGACACAAAAACAAAACAAACCAACGGAAGTCAGTTCATATTTTTTGACGCTTTGTAACAGGAGCTCCATGTGGACACAGTCACAACATAAAAAAAAAGCATTTGTAGTTTAAGACGTGGCTGACTTAAGTGCTGTGAAGATGGCGGCAGCTGCAGTGGAGGTGGTGCCGCCGGAGTTGTCAATGCGGGTTTTAAACAGCCTCTGCTGGGAGCTCTAATAAAGGAGGATGCGGCGCTCGATGGCTTTGCGGCAGATGGGACACTCGCTCATTCGGTCCCCACAGAGCTGACAGGTGCCGTGGCCGCACATGAAGATCATGTTCTTCAGCCGGTCCAGACACACCGGACACATGGTCTGCAGGAAGAAATGGAGGAAAGACTTCAGCTCATGTTTTCATGTTTATTCTAAAACAAAGTGCAAACATCCATTTGAGCACAGTTTACAGCAGTAGCCACTGTCCTGCAGTTCAGACCAGCTCATGTTCTGTGCAGTCCGTTATTTGTAACTTCACCTGTTCCTTGATGTCTTGCAGCTGCTGCTGAAGCTTTTGGACATCGGCGTTGACGTTTGTGTTATCTTTGTCTCTTTGCAAGGCCGGGATGTTTCCACTGGCTGTTTGGACACACAAACACACGTTGAGGGGGAAAAAAGTGAATTCTGTTCATGGCCTAAAAAAAATTAACAAGTGCTCAGATTTCACTGCATCTACAGAATCTATTGCCAATATGGAAAAAAATGCAGCTGCAGCAGCATGGGCATTCTGAAACAAGCCTGGCAGTAGATTTGTCTTCTTGTAAACAAGCAGGAATCCCAAACACATGCATTCTGAATTTATTATTTGGCAGATCACTTCTGGCTCAACGCTGTGGCTCATTTTTTAAATGATGTTCACTTCAGTAATAGACACTTTGTAAAAGCTGGAACAACACAAATCATCACAAACTGCTTTTGGCACTGGATGTTCAACAAACTGCTTGTGAAATATGTGCAGAAAACTGTCTGAATGTGCTAAGTGAACACTAATTTTCTACACTTAGGCACGGTTGGGGACTCCAAAGCAGCTGGCAGAAACACCTTCTAAAAAAATCTGCCAGAAGTAGTGAACAGTAGTCTGTGTCAAACAAGCATCTTTTATTTTCTTGTGTACACACGAGTGTTTGGCATTAAATGAAATTAGGGTGGGGTTAAGGGGAAAGGAGAGGGGCCAGGGCAGCACTGTGGAAGGGGAGCGCTTGTTAAAAGCAAGGCTCTGATAAGGGAGGGGATGATGGAAGTATACTTACACCAACTTAGAGCCAGATTGTTGGGCTGGAGAAGATCCTGCGATCCCCCTGCCATAGAGTTAGAGCTCCCTGCTGGAAATAACCAGTCACATTGTTATAGCAGGAGCTGATCTTTACCAGCTCGAGAGCTGGCCTCATGACCAAAACTACTCATTACGGCCTCTAGAGGAGGCTCACACAAAGAATCTGAAGAGAACATTAGCAAGTTGGAAGCAGCTATCATGGAGAGAAAAAGAAAACGGTCACTTCCATGCAGAAATTATTATTATTATTATTTACATCATGAGTTATTTGTTGTTTGTTGAGATGGACCAGCATTATAAATCCCTTAATGTAAACTAAAAAGGTCAAATCTAAATAATTAGGTGCATTTTTGCTGCATTAATTGCTTCTAAAACAAATCACAGCAATGAGTAATCTTGGGACAGGGATATGTGATGCAAGCACCCAATGCTGCCCCTTGCATGTGTGTATGTGTGTTTGGAGCCATTGTCTTTTGGACACCTCATAAAAAGTGCAAATAAGACCTAATGACAGGTCAAGAAATTTTAAAAACAGCGGTGACGAAGAAAATTGTGAACTTGCAACAGTTTCCCTTTTAAATAAACATAAATGTGAAAATCGTGGCTTGAGTAAAGGTTAAAAGAAGGTGCTGATAAAAGACTAATAGACATTGTGAGAGCAAATAAAAGACAAGATGACTGTGAAAACATCTTTAAATAAACATATTTGAAAAATTTAAATGCACTGTGATTATTGTGCTATGTAAAAAAGCAAAAATCAATATTTTGTGTTGAAAAATGAGAAGTGTAACACTTCTGCAGCTTGGAAACAGGTCTGCAAATGTTTAATCACTTACTTAATTTTATGAGTAAATAAAACAATTGTTAATTTTATGTTTCATTAGCCAAACTTTGAGGGTCATGAAAAAACACACAAAATAATTTGCTTATATATACTCCAATACTTCTTCATTATTCAACATATTCAACTTAAAAGTAGCTACAGACCCTATATAAACATATTTCAAGCACATACCTTAGCATACTATGATGTGATTGTTGACAAATATGCTTCAAGGAAGCAAAAATCCAATAGAAGTTTTCTATATAATAAATATATTTGTTTGTTATGATTAAAGCATGCAAACTGTAATAGTGTAGTTAGTTTGAAAAAAGAAAGAAAGGACCATTTTTAGTGTGTCTTCTAAAATAAGACAAAATGAAAGAAATGTAAAGTAAATGTGTAAAAAAATAGCATCAACAAAGTAAAAGATAAGAACTGAAAGATGCAAGAAATAAAGTACAAAAAAGGGAGTGGATTAAAAGGGAACGGGTGGAAGATTCACTCACTAAGGTCATCATCATCATCATCATCATCATCATCAGCGGCATCATCCTCCATACCTTTCCCTCCACAGCAGAGAACAAAGGGGGTGCGGCGTTCCACCACAGCCCGGCACTGTACGCACTTCTTCATGAGGCTAGCACAGTCTGCAGAGAGAAGACAGACATGCTCAGACCGAAAACTTGCACGTTATCGTTTATACAAAAGGACTAAAAGCGACGAAGCCCAAGACATGCTAGTGTCAAAATCAACAAGTTGGAACGAGTGCGTGACTTACTTTCACAAGCGCACATGTGGCCACAGGGCTGAAACAACACGGCTGCCTTTTTGTCAGAGCAGACAACACACTCCTCAATCTGAACAGAGACACAGTGAACACATAATAAGAGAACAACTCTAGTCTGTCTATCAAAGCAATGGCAGGTTGCAGCGGTGCCTCCGATACCTTGGTTCTCGACTGGACCTGCTCCTTACAGATGAGACACTTCTTGACACGTGGCGAGCAGAGCGAGCAGGTAGCGATGTGTCCGCATGGTCCAAACAAGGTGTCTCTCTTCATGTCAGAACACACCATGCACTCCTCCAGGGACTCCATGTTGCTGTTCAGAGACGGGCTGCGCGTGCCAACCTGGCCACTAGAGTATAGAGATTAAAGGTGGAGTGTGAGAAACCGGCTGGTTGGTCCATGTAGGAGTGTACTGCTTAGTGGGGAAAACCGTTTGTTTGTAACTCAGACTGATGAAGCCCTTTGGATGGAGGGCAAACAAAAAAAAAAAAAAAACTGGATTATTGAACATGAATCTTGATAGCTGGCAGAAAACACCCAGCAAAATGAAAATGTTCCATCTGTAGTGTTTCAATAGTGTTTTAAAGAAGAAATTTAGGTCAAATCAGGGTGCTTAATATGTAAAATAGTTATAGAGCGACAGGCAGGGAGATTTTTAAAATCTGTTTCTTTGGCCTTTGGAGTTTCCTCCTTTCTTGTTTTTTTATTTTGATTTTTTTTCCTTATGTTGAGTTTAACCCACCATCTCCTGGGTCCGGCTTCACATTTACCGTAGAGAAGAGAGTGATATTGATCTTCTCACCAAGTTCTCAGCAAGAAAGCCAGTAAGTGTGTTTCCCAAAATGTCACACAATTCCTGGGATGTTTACCTGCTCTTCTCTTTGTGACATTTGGCCAAAGCCTTACAGAGGCTGGGGTCAGGACACAGGTCCAGGGGGGATTGGCCCTTTTTATTGCGAATAGTCAAGTCTGCGCCATTTGCTGCCAGGAAGCAGGCAATGGATGCTGCACTCTTCTTCTCAGCCCCCTGGGTGCCCAGTCCCATGATTAACTACAGAGAGGCAGACAGACACATAAAACAGACAAAGTCAGAGGCAGATAAAGGTTTTTGACATTTCACAACAAAGGCCAGTAGACAGTTGCAGGTCTCTGCTATGCACCGATTAATAATGGCGATATAAATAAAACGTCTTGATTTTATAACGTTTTGTGTCTTTTTAGAGGTAAACTCGGGTTTGAGTATAAATCAATTCAATACAAACTATCCAATCACAGACATGTCTTTAGATGCATGTCAGGCAATATCACTCTCACCTCATCTTGTCTTTCTTGTTCTCGTAACAACTTTACTCAGTCAACTGTAACTCAAACCTAATTTCTCTCATGCAATTTCTATGTCTGATTCACTTCAACCAGTAGCTTTTTCATCTCCTCTGATGGAGCCATCGAGCCAGCTAATTCAATTCTCATCTTGTAGGGAGGAAAGGGCCATGGGAGTATGACCCAGCTGCACATTTCTTAAATTAGGCCCGATGTCTGTCGTTTCTGCTCCTCTGAGGAGGAACCGGAGCGGGCAGATTGAGAGGCTCAAATGAGAAGGAGGTGGAAACGGTGAGGGGGAAAAGGAGTGGGTGGGAGGCAGCAGGTGACAGGTACAGAAAAATCTGTCGCTGATGGAAGGTTTTAAAGTTCCCCCAGAAGCGATTAATGATGTGTTAACAGGAAGGGGGCTCTAGTCTGAGATGCCCTCTTTAAGTCCCTACAAAGAAACCTGGTCAGGCTGGTAAAAACAAAACAGCGCGGCGGCTCATTGCTCCGAGCGTCGGTCTGAATGATGAGCTGTCCAGCGATGCAGGTGATGGACACTGTGAGTGTCCTGACTACACAGGATCTGTCATTTCACACAGTGGGACACATGCTGATATTGATAAAAGTTTATGCACAAATACTGACAAGGAAGCTCTAAACAGTCTTCCTAGATGATAAATGCCATGTCATGATGCTTCAGTGCAACTCCTAAAAGAAAAAGACGAGTAGCAGAAAATAAGAGGCAAACGTTAAATTTAAAGAAGCACACATGGCAGCTGATAAAATATTTTAACATGTGTTAGTCAGTATTTGATTTTAATTGAAAATGTTTGATTGTAAAACAATAATTTATTTCACTAAGTGACTTCAAGTGCTCAGGCTGAGCCTAATGTAAGTGGAATTTAAAGCATTGTTTTTTCTATTTTTTTTTTTTTACAAAACCTAAAAAAAAAGTCTATCAGTTAATTTGTGAATAGATGTATGAATTCACAATGCAATGCATGAATTGTGACCTTTAATTATTACTTGCTACATTTAAGTAATAAATTATACCTTTTTTTTCCTCTGATACCTTATGAATCCTTGGCACATGTAAGTTAGGTTAATAATAGATGTATCTGTACCGTGTTCTTGGAGGGTTCCCAGGGCTCCACTTTGCTGACATCCTGCATGTCCTGGAGCTGTCGCAATTGGGACAACGTGTGGTGACGCAGTGCCTCGTGAAGGGGTGTGTCCCCGTCCTTATCCTGCACATCGAGCTTGGCCTCTGCCCGCACCAGCAGCTGTTAAGAGAAGCATAAAAACAGAGAGTTGCACAAACAAGAAATCAAGCAGAAACTCTTGCAAGAAAAAAAAAAAACCTTTAAGTTTATGTTTTCTAAGTGCCACAGCACTGATTTATAAAGCTGCTGCTAACAATAAACTTTGAGTGCATTGTGCAACGCCCAATGACAGAATGTACTTTTGTTTTGAGTCCACAAGATGGCAACGTGGCGATCTCAGATCAGGACCACACTACAAAAGCCAGACTAACACATTCCCTTATAAAACAATTCCCCTCCCTTGAAAGGCAGGACATCATTCAACTTCAGGACACCCAACCATGTGAATAAAAGCTGCACTGATGTTGTTTTGCTGCCTTTTGTGTAAAGGAGAGGAACTGGCAGCTAACTAAAGACAGCATGTTCACTTAGTTCCCAAGTGTGGAAAGAAAAAACAAAAAACAGACAGAATGAATAAGAACTGAAGCATGAACACCAACCCGAACTATCTGAGTGTGCTGGCGCTCAACTGCAAGGTGTAATGCCGTCTGCTGGTTGACATTCTGAATGTCTAAGCTGGCACTGCCCTGGGTAGAAAACAGAAACAAGAAAAGCAAACATTTGGGTATTTGAGCATATTTTTGCAACAAAGCATATTGTGTCACCTGTATGTTCAAGCTGAAACGACAGAAACGCAAAGAACGTAATAAAAATATATTTGTTTGTTTGTATAGTAGATAAAAAATGAACAACGCTTCTGGTTTTATGTACCATGACAGCACCTTCTGTCCTTCTGACCAGCAAAGTATCAGCGAGGGAGCATTTAAATTTTTTTTTTTTTAAATGGAAGTCTACAAAAAAAAGCTGCATGTGATTGTCATTTCCAATAGCAAACACATCAGCTGTGGAGATGTGAAGGCAAGATAAGTATTGTGATCAAGGCGGTGTGTAAAAATCTCAAATAAGATTGCCTGACTGGCTGGTTTGCTGGCTGGGAATCTGCAGTGCACCTCGAAGTGTGGTGCAGTTTCTGAATAGAAAGCTGAGCCATCACTGCGAACAAGCCCATTGCAGGAACTTAGAGAGGGGGAGAAAAAAAAAAAAGCTGTCCCTGCTGAAAGGGTAGCTTGCACAGCGAACGTGCACACGTTGGGAATGTTGCAGCAACATTACTGTCTTGCACCACATCTTTTTTAACCCATTTCTGACTCAATCAGGTGACTTTTCTGTGTAAACTTGTGTGTGCATTCTGACGGTCAGAGAGCCTGCAATCTCAGAAGGGAAAAAGAACATGAAACTATAACTGCAAAAGGAGGAGGATGTGAGGGCCACGAAGCACTAAAGAACACCCCTGGAGGCCATGTGAACCTTATGGATTCAATAAAAAAAATGGCAGTTAAAGGAGCTTCAACTGGTCTACAGCTTGCTGGCTGCAGGGAGTGCAGTGGAGTTGCTTTCAATGGTGTTTTGTTGGCTGAAGGTAAAGCTAATACAAGCTGAAATGACGCTGCAGTGCTGCTGTATCAACTATAAACTGGGATATCTAAACAGAAGGTGTTTTTAATGCATTTGGCAATGTCCCATCTTAGGTGTTTAACAATCAGATTTAATTTGATTTTAATCATTTTATTTGCATGTATACATTCTTGAGTATAATTTTAAGAAGTTAATATTTTCTAACTTTTAGGGAAGTTGAAAATGTATTAGGCTTTGAGCACTACGATACTAAGTTTCAAGTAAATTTATACTGCCTGTTCAGTCATGATGCTGCAGAAAGCAAACTTTAGCATTTGCTGTGTAGTTCATACATTGAGAAAAAGTCATAAATCAATCTGCACACCAAGAAAAACAAAAAGTAAAGTGTTGGAGACAGAGAGCCAGGTAAACCTTCAGACTGACTAACTTTTAATGCACAGTCTCTTTCTATATACACATTCAATTCACCCAAACCACAAACTGATCACACCTGCCCATAAAGACGTGCAAAAAAAAAAATATATTATTATTTAGTAAACTTTATTTGACCAGGCAAATCCCACTGAGATCACAGACCTATTTTGCAAGGGAAGCCTGGGCCAGAAGGCAGCCTAACATGCATGATTTTGTACTATGGGAGGAAACCGGAGTACCCGGAGAAAACCCACAAACAACAGGAGAACATGTAAACTCCACACAAAAGACCCCAGGTCCAAACCGAGAACTGAACCCAGGAGCTGTTTGCTGTGAGGCAACATGCTAACCACAAAGCTGTTGTGCTGCTCAAAAAAATAAAAATATACTTGACTGAAATTTTTCTAAAACCCCTACATACATAAAAAGATTACAAGCCATTTCCTAATTGTAATTCAATTTAATCTATTTTAATACAAAGACAGAATTTTAAAAATTCCTACATTTTATTTTTACTTTTTTCCACATTTAGCCTTTATTTATCCAGGTAGTCTCACTGAGCCACGAGAACTCATTTTCAAGAGAGATCTGTTTAGGGAGCAGATGGGGGGTTAAGGGCCTTGCTCATGGGCCCAGGGTGGGGCGAATGAGGATGGGGGCAAGTGTGGGTGCTTCACCTACCCCACCCACAATTTTGATGTTGTCGGGGCCGGGGCGTGAACCGACGATCTTCGGATCGCAGGCCCACCTCTCTAACCTCTGCGCCACCATTCCCCAAAAAAATACATAAATTTAAATAATTTATCTAATAGATTATTAGTACCACATTAAAGGATCGTGCAGTCAAACAAAAGTTAAATACTCATTTAAAGAGGCACATTTTATAAAGAAGTTGCTTTGGTGTGCAAACCAATTTACAAATTTTCTCTGCTTGCTGCTTCAGGTTCCAGCACACTGTTGAGTACATTTTTTAATGTGCCCAACATATATTCAAATATGTTTAGAAATTAGTTATCACTTTTAACTTATAAAATTGTGAGTTTTGTTACCTGATGCACCAAAAGTTCAGCCACCTCCACATGGTTGTTGAGGGCAGCCAGGTGCAGCGCAGTGTAACCGTCGTCCTTCTTCTCGTCTACGATCCAAGGCCTCGGCAGTTTGGAGAGCAGCACACGCATGGCACTGCAAAATAGAAAAGACAAAGAAGTGAGCGCTCAGCTGGAGTCAGGGCTTTGACTGTCTGGAAAAATCTTCAAAAACATAGAGAATGAAGTTACTATAAGGTGTATCTTGAAGATGTAAAAGACAAATACATCTCTAGCAACACCGAGTATCTGTACTGCTGACATACAACAATTCTGTAATATGAAGTGTCTTTTTTTATTTTAACAGAGGAGCTTTCTTCCGTTTCCACGTGACTACCAAATCAACTTACAGAGGAGTTGCTTTAGCAAGCAGAATGTTATTTAAATCAACCTGTGAGCAATACAATCACTATGATGTTATAAGGCCTTTTAATAGATGAGATACATAACATTAATGGCTTCAATCTTATAAACTGACAGCATTAATCTTTCACACACTCTTCAATTTAAAGGTAATGTTCCTCGCACTACATTAAAAATGTCTGTGAAAGAGCCACAAAGCAAACGCAGCACTTGTTATGTGCGTGAGATTAAAGGGACCCTTTATTATAAAAGCTATTGAGTCGTCATTTACTCACAACATTGTGACACATCATCCAAACTTGTATTTAGTGTGACAAGCTTGCAATAACTATGGAAAACATATTACAATAGATGAAAAAGCTGAAACGATCATATTTTGACTAAGTGTTGTACAACTGAGGGTTTAGTTGCACTTTTGAAATGTAGCTGTCAGCTTGAGGAAAAAATATCTCTCTCTC